GGGTACGTGCACAACCTACGCTCCAAAGGAACGCAGGATACGCGTGGCAGCCATATTGTGTATACAAACGCGTACGTCGTAAACTCTCCACCACTCACTGCCCCATCTCCATAAACAGCCAGCCAATAAAAATTGTTGACAGCTTCAGGTACCTTGGCATCACTATGGACAATAAACTGAGTTATGATCACCACATCACAGACATCCACAAGACTTTTTGCCATATGTAAAGGACTCTCAGTCAAACCACACCTACTGCTTCACCATGCTCTCTCTCACCAATAGGAATACTAGTAACACTTCCTCCAAAATAATCAGTCTTTCCCACTCCCAATCTGCCAGCCCTCATTGACCCCACTTGCAGAGCAATTACCATAATACAAAATCCCAGCCACCCTCTCAACTCATGCTTCACCCTTCTCCTCTCTGGCCATACAGACAGATGCTATACAAAAAAGCACGCCTGGGGGAAAGTTTTGTACCCTGCGCCATAAGAGCGTTGAACTCACAGACAAGTTCATGATGCCACTCTGTGCATAGGGGAGACCGGGTATGGTTGTAACACTTTTTGCTTCAGCAACTGTAACTCACTGAAATTTCACAGCTAGAATTCTAGCGCTAGCTAACTAGCACTTCCGGTCTGTACGGGACACCCCAGAGCGTCTCAGAGACGGTGCGTCTCACCATAACTACACTTTGTCACCCTTTCTCAAATTGTCAGTATATGACGCCGTGAGATGAGAAGGGCTGAGGGCTCGAAGTACTGGTCACAGTGCTGACAAATGAATGCTGGTAACCCTGGAGTGTAACTCAAGTGAACAAGCCATTCAATTGTTCCATTAACTTCTCACAGAATGCATTCATGTGTAGTTACATCATCTCTCTTGTGTACGTCTTGTAATTCTCTACTTCAAACAACATTTTAATACACATTACCACCTGTAAATAAGTGCATCAAGGCTACTATAAAAATATAGTGCAAATTACAGCAAAACTCAACTGGATTTAAAGCAAGCAACATACCACCTGCATTACTTCTGTGCTTACACACTTCACTTCAGATCAATTAATACAGCTATCACATACAGAGAAATATAAACATTTTCAATGATACAAAACCTTTTAAATGTAAAGCCACTGAGCAAAAATAACTATTACAGGGACAATTCACCTTTAACTGCACATAACAAAATATTAACATCCTCCACAACAAATAAGTAGCCTACAGCTCTGTAACATTTCAGTGTTTTAATATAAGGCACTTCACATTATACCATATTCTTGACTTAAATTCTCATGTTGTTGTATTTGCAGGAGCCCAAATAAAATACTGTGCAAAGTAGATACTTTTCTAGCGTTGTACCTGCAAGACTACCCTCAGGTAATATGAAAACAGCCACCCGCGATGCGGCAACTGCCAACCACGCCGCGTCTGGACCTGCCGCCGACTATGGCGGAGTTTTTAATGTTCAAAAATATTTTCTAAACACTATCAAAACATCTTTATAACACTAACATCAAGCATTTAGATGTCGATATTGACAAGTTTTATCAATTACTAACCTGTAAAATACAGATGACATTCAGAAGCAATGAAAACACAGCGTGTTCAGTTCGTCATCCGGATCGCATCTGAGGGGTGGACCGAAGTTTCCCCCTGTGGCTACCTGTAGCGCACCAAAAGTTCCGCCTGGGCGCTGCTTCAAATTAGCCTACCACTTAAATTCACCATTTATACATGAAAATAAAATAATGTGATTGTCATTCACAGTATTTAGGATAATATAAAGCCCTGCGGTTTTGAAAAAAATTACTGCTCCGCTATTTACTTTAAATAAACACAAAATGGTTGCACAATTTTGGGGTGCATCACATGTGTATAGCGGATGGTTGTAACACTTTTTAAAGTTGTGTTACAACCCACCCCACCCCAGTCAGCCAGTGTTTATCTAGGTGTATTAGCATAGTGGTTTGAAATTAGTAAGAGAAAAATGCATCACATTTTGCCTAAGAAACTACATTTCAATCTAATATAAGTCAAACAATTCTATCTGCAATAGTAGGCTATAGATACTAAACAAATATAGTCTTGGTCAAAAATTGTACTTTTCCTCAAAATCATTTTTTTCCTCTAGGCCTATGTATTCTGAATGTACCTCTTTCCAGACTTGGAAGTGGGTAAATAATGAAATGATCACCTAACGCCTATCTTATCTCTAATTGGTGGAATTGGTGTTACAACTCTCCCCATGTTACAACCATACCCGGTCTCCCCTATAATGTGTAGGATGGAGACTTTGTGTGTAGAATTCATGTTGAAGGTGCTCTTGGGACAGACTGTGAAAACAAATTTCCTACTGAGGACAATAAAGAATTATTCTGAATCTGATTTGCTCTGCCAGTTTAAATGGCGAGTCCATGAGCGCACTCACATTTTCTCTGGCACTTCGTACTGAGTCTGACGATGAATTAGACCAAAACTACAGATTATTTCAAAGCCACGAAAAGGGAGCTACAGCGGAGTGAGATCATATGAGTTCACAGCGAACCAAAATGTCAGCCGCGGAGGTTGAAACCACAAACTTTTATTATCACTATTAAAATCATTATTGTGTATTTGTTGTTATTATTAAAATTCACCACGCCACTAGGCCCCAGAGCTAATTTTCGGCTTGCACGCGTTTCCGCGAGTTGCGCGCTGCTCTCTTTAACAGAGGCGCACTGCGCGTTTACGCACGACTCCAGTGACACTGGCAGAGAGCAGAGTGCCATGATCGTCATTGTGTGAGCGTTTTGCTGCCACCGCTGCAAGAAGATGATCCTGCTGTCTGGTCTGTTGCTCATTCTCTGGGGAGAACCGGGTCGGTGCCTGGAAGAGGGAGGAAGCTTTACATTTCATGGAGATTTCCGCCACATCGCCGTGGCCACCAACACGGTTTACATCGCTACAGAGGAGAGGCTGTACCAGCTGAGCCACGACCTGACTCTGATCCAGAGTCTGACCCAGAGAGGAATCTTGAAGGTGGGGCCTGAGTCCGGTGATGAGCAGTTTTACCGGGTTTCTGAGACGGATGAATGGAACGCAACTTTCGGTGTCAACATATTATTGCCGTTCGTTGAGAACAACACTGTGATCAGCTGCGGTGTGATCAAGTGCGGCTACTGCGAGCTGCTGGACCTGCAGAACATTTCCAACGTGCTGTACAGGGAGCACATCCAGGTGGGACCCGCAGGGCGCAGCAACGCGTCCGTCGGCTTCCTGGTGGAGGTGGAGAAGACTCGGACCCGGCCCGAGACTTATATTCTGACTGCCTTACAGCAACCCGACAAAACACAGAGACCAGCTGCCTCTCTGAAACAGCTTCTGTGAACCTTCATAATACGAACAACAAGCAGACGGGAGAAATATTTTCCATTAGGGGGGAGAATTATCTAGCTAAGATCAAACGTGAAGGCGAGGTGGAGTTTGTGGATGGATTTCAAAAGAATTTAATCATTTATCTTTTCTCCAACGTGCCATCAGAGGACAAAGGCAACAAAGTCCGGCTCATTTGGCTTGAGGGAAAAACAGGCAAAACCGAGACTCTCAGGTCGCTGCGGGGCGCGACTCTCAGTATCTCTGATGGTGGTAAAGGCAGCAGACTCGTGGCCTCCTCGGTGATCCCGGGTGGGCCGCCGGTGCTCTGGAGCGGCGTGTTCAGTGTGGACGGAGGACAAACCGACACCGAGCTGGTAGTGTTTGACGTCAGCCCTGATCTCACCGGAGCGGCCGATGCGGATCCAGACTTCTGCATCACCTGTCCTGAGAAGTCAAGATCCACGGTGGGTCCTGATATTGTTCATCTTGAAAGTTTCTAGCAAGTTATGTTTCGCTGACTTCTTACAAAATAAAAGCAGAACAGTTTTATGTGGGGCCATTTAGCCATTGCTTTACTGTTAGGTTTAGTTTTGCATGCTACATAGGCTATGTCTAAGAAAAAGTGAGAGGTCAA